CCCTAACAACTTAGTGAGACCCCGTCTCAAAATAATAATAATAATAATAATAATAATAATAATAATAATAATAAAAATTTAAAATCACCTGTCAACAGAAATTCCCTGCAATTGACTTGAGTCCATTTACATATACATAGGCAGTGCCTATGTAGATCTCTTGAATTCTAGCTGGCCTAAACTGGTGTTTTCTAAGAAAAAAAGAGAGACAAAGAGAAATATTGCCTGTGGAATAAAAATAAGACAGCATCACAGTTCATGAAGCACATTTGTTTTTTTCACAATGAAGGGAAGAGGTATATAAAGTTAAATGGTGAGCAAGGTCACATCTTCTCAATTTCTCCTATTTCTTAGCATCTCTGTTTCAATGTTCTTTTCTGTTTTAGCATGTAAGAAGTAATTTTTTGAGTGGAGAACTTGTACAACATGATAGTCTCTAAACTGTCCTCTGCTATGATGTAATCTGTTAATTTTAGGTTTGGCATCTGGAAATTCCATGGCACGTATTGCATGTTAATGACTGTATAATATTAATTGGCCTATTAGTTCTCAATATTAGCAGTATTGCCATCATCATAATTGCCTGTAAGGAACTTGGTCTTGATTCATTACAGTGCTCTGCATGTGAAGAACTTCTTGAGGCAGTGTCAAAAACTAACCTAAACTAAATTGTCTATTTGACCTCTGTCATGCTTTTGACAAACCACGTTGGTCTATGACATTTAGAGAACTTAAGAGCTATAAACTTCCTATTACATGTCTTAGCTGTTGGAAAACAATGAAAGATTAAGACCAGTCTTTATTGCAGCTGAATTGTTTAGTATGCTAAGCAACTGAGAGTCATATCTCTATGGAGTGAGTTTATCTAAGTATGTCTGAATGTCTAAGATGAAGGCAACAAAAAGGGAATTCCATCCTATAAGACTTTGACCTTTGACAGAAGTCCTTTATTTATTGATTGATTGATTGATTGTAGTACTGGGGACTGAACCCAGGGCCTCAGCACATGCTACTAAAGCATTCTATCACTGAGCTACATCAATTCGATCCTGTAAGACTTTGAAAGGCAATTTTTGATTGTTTACAGAAGGAAGAATTGTAAAGTCTTTTTCAGATTTAATCATTATCACACCATGCCACCAGCATGGACATTTAACCTTCAGCTCAATTCACAAAAGGAACATTTTTGTTTGTTTGTTTGTTTTTACTAGTCACACAAGCTTGGAGTGATATAGTAGTCAAGCTTCTATGGGCATGGACAAAGTTGGGACACAGGTTTCCTTTATCATATGTTCCTTGAAAGCCCATCTCAGACTGAAGTCTGCCACATGTAAAAATATTTATTTTATTACACCCCCCATACACACACAGATCACTTATTCCTATAAGCTAGGAAAGTTCCCACTCATGAGCATGGATAAGCACCATGCATGAAACTTTAGTTCTAATGTAGAAATAACCAGCCATATTCTGATCACTCAACCTTCCAGATACAAAAGGTGGCATGGTTTCCTATTAAATGGGGACAGAGGAGATAAGGTGTTAGTTAGCTTTCTATTACTTTAACAAATACTAGGGAAAATCAATGTTAAAAGAGGAAAGATTGCCTGAAACAGTGGCACATGCCTGTAATTCCAGACACTTGAGAGGCTGAAGCAGGAAGAACACCAATTTTGAGGCCAGTCTGGGGAATTTAGCAAAACCCTGTCTCAAAAAAAAAAAAAAAGGGACTGGGTATATAATTCAGTGGTGGTAAAGCACCCCTGGATTCAATCCCCAGGACCTCCCCAAAAGAATAAAGGTTTAATTTTGTTCACAATTTTGGAGGTTTCAGACCATGGTCAGGATGGCACATTCTTGTTGGGTCTGTGGTAAGGCAGCACAACATGGTACCCAAGAACTGAAAGAGTGACAGAAATAGACCGGCATTCCACAATTCCCTTCAAGGATACTCACCCAATAACCTAAAACCTCTGACTCGGCCCCACATCCAAATGCTTTCCACCACTTACCAATGGCACCAAGCTAAGGACAAAGCCTCCAATTTAGAATAGAAGACATTCTAAATTCAAACTATATCAGGTGATTGAGGAGAGGGGATGTTGAGAGTGGGGTAAACATGAGACCAAACACATTTCTAAGTCCAAGTGCTATTCTGAGGGTATAACACTTGCCAGATTCTTAAAATTACCTTTACCATTGTACTAACCATATTTTAAAACACTCAAACTACCTTTTGTGTTAAATAATAAATCTCTGGAAATCGATTTTCGATAGCAATTATTGATAGCAAGTTTAGGAATCATGTGGTTTTCTGACAAACGTCCTTCAAATGTCAATTCACTGCTCTTAAAAAGGAACATGCACAAGTGTGTTTATACTGAAGTATGTTTATTTCTATAGAGGGATTTTAAACTACGGTCAGTATAATGCTCCTTTCTTCATTTCTACCTTGTGGGAAGGAGCGTGGTTTTGAACATTCCATGGGTTTGGCTGCCATTGAAAGCACCTCTGAGGAGCTTACAAAGAGTCACCGCAGAAACACTTCAGGCACGCCTTCCATTGAAGTGTCTGGGACTTCCCTCTCCTCAGGTGGGTAGTTACAACATGACTACTCTGTTGTTAAAAAAAAAAATGACCCAATCAGATGGAATTGGCTGCTTTATGTTATACCATGTTATGTTTTCTGCCTCAGAAAACAGTTGCCAATTCTTGTACCTATGGTAGTAGGCTCCCTGTGTGAGAACTGCTTGAAGGTGGTCCCAAGTGCAAATCTATTTATTGAGTGCATACTGTTGTTAGGCATCATCTTCAAGTTTTAGAGCTATATTAGAGTATCAGTATAGAAGTATAGGAAATATAAGTGGTTCCAGAATATGTTTACTATGATACATAACACTTGCCCAGAGTGCAAGGAAATTGTCGTTCAACTGATACGGTGGACCAATGTTCCCTATATCCAGATAAGCCACTGCATGGTTAATGAAGGAGCTTGTTTGCAAGCTGCATTAAGGTATTAATAATAACCATTTTTGTTTGTATGGCACATTCGCACATATCATTTTAGTTCATGATTACAGCAATCCAGTGAATCAGGTATTATTTATGTTGCAAATATTTTTACCTATGAATGAGGAAACTCTAGAGAAATTTGTCATAATTATGAAGTTTAGGTCCATATATAGAACTGATTTCATGATGAAGTCTTCAACATTAAAAAGTTATCTGTTGCTGGACATGGTGGCACACGCCTGTAATCCCAGCAGCTTGGGAGGCTGAGGTCAGAGCATTGCAAGTTCAAAATCAGCCTCAGCAATGGCAAGGTGCTAAACAACTTAGTGAGAACCTGTCTCTAAATAAAATACAAAATACAGTGTCCCATGAGTTCAATCCCTGGCACCCCCCCCCCAAAAAAAAAAAAGATTTTTTTTATTGATGGAAGAATGTTCTGGTGCCTAGTGAGCTTCCTTTCAATGATTGGTAGTCACTCCCTTTTTATGTGAAAGGAACTTGGTATATCATTTGAAAGTAGATATTTAAAATTGGTCAACTTGTATTTTATGTCAAATATGAAAGTACAGTAAATTCTCTAAATATTGAAATCAAGAATGCTTAATGTTCACCAGGTACAGTGGTACATGCCTGTAATACCAGCTACTCAGGAGACTGAGGCAGGAGGACTGCAAATTCGAGGCCAGCATCAACAACTTAATGAGGCCTTAAGCAACTTAGTGAGACTATATCTCAAAATTAAGAGTAAAAAGGGGCCTGGGGAATAGCTCAGTTGGTAGAGTGCTTGCCTTGCATGCACAAGGCCCTGGGTTCAATCCCTAGCACCCCCACACACAAAAAAATTAAATTAAAAAGGGTTGGTGATATTGCTCAGTGGTTACACACCCCTGGGTTCAATTTTGTTTTGTACTATGAAAAACACAATTAAAAAGATTAATTATTAATTATTATTTTCCAAGTTTAAAGACCCAATCTATGAGATTTTTTTTTAATTCTAGGAGTAAAGCAGAAGATTATTGTAAATGGAAGTATTTTAACATAAACTGCATGAAGTTATTGATTCTGGCTGTTAGCATGACTGTCCATGCTCTGTGCCTAAAAAGAATTGAAATAAGGAGGAAACATTTGCAATGAAAAATAAGAACTTATCTCCAAAGTAAGAAGATATACTTATTTTTTCTTTTTCTCTCTCTAGACCGGAGTCGATCTGAGTTAGATTTGAGTGAATCATTTACAGAAGACTTAGAAGATACTGTAAGCATAAGAAGCAGATCGGTCCCTGGGACTTTAGACAAAGACTTGGTAAGTTGGATGTGTAAGAGTCCAAGATATGACAAAAGAAGGTCATGGTCTTGCTCTAAGTAGTTCCACTTTTAGGTGATGATGAATTACCTAAAGGAACTTAGTTATCTAAGTTATCTCTTCCTGTTAGTCTCAACATAATAAGTGCTACTAAACCAGGTGTGGTGGCAGCACATGCCTGTAATCCCAGAAGCTCAGGAGGCTGAGCCAGGAGGATTGTGAGTTCAAAGTCAGCCTCAGCAATTTAGCAAGGCCCTAAGCAACTCGGGGAGACCCTGTCTCTGAATAAAAATATAAAGGACTGGGGATGTAGCTCAGTGGTTAAGCATCCCTGGGTTCAATCCCAGTACCAAAAAAAAAAAAAAAAAAAAAAAAGGAGCAACTAAAAGAATTATTTATTAAAAAGCAACTAATCAGGTTAATGATAGATTATCTCTAGCAAAGTATCTGTCAAGAGATTTATTTCCATTCCTGGCTAAAGGCTCATCAGTTTGTCTAAACCTTGGATCTAAGGGATCTTGGCATTTTCTAAACCAAATATTACTTTCTGACTATATATTTTACATGACCCTTTTTTATATATCAAGTTGTCCCCAATGAGCTGCCTTCCTGAGACTAAATTATGTGAGAATTAATGTTCCAGTGCACTCAATTATAAAATGAGAAGGTTAAATTCGATTATTGTTAAGGTTACTTCCCACTCTAATATTCTGATATTCTGATTTCTGTAACTGCCATAATGAAATTTGAACTCCTTAGACGAAAGATATAGCACAAATGTTAATTGATATTAATAGTTTTTCCAAAGCAAGCCAGGAAACTTAGAGCTCTGGAACTAAATATTATTTACTGCAGCATAAAAAGCTGGGAAAATACTTTAAAATCCACTAGAATAAAGAAGGTATTTGGGCTGGGGATGTGGCTCAAGCGGTGGCACGCTTGCCTGGCATGCGTGGGGCGCTGGGTTCGATCCTCAGCACCATATACAAATAAAATAAAGATGTTGTGTCCACCGAAAACTAAAAAATAAATATTAAAAAATTCTCTCTCTCTCTTTAAAAAAAAAAGAAGAAGAAGAAAGTATGCAATGGGATCCGATGATTCCAAGACTTACTTTTAAAGAACTGCTTACCTTTAAAGAACTGCTAACTCAAATGTTATTAAACTATTCCTGTCCTTAGAAAACTATGAAAATCTTCAAATTCATAGTATGAAGCCAGCCAGTTAACCTCTAAACTCAAAGTTGATTTTAAAAATTGTTTAAAAACTAACATTGTGGGGCTGGGGATGTGGCTCAAGCGGTAGCGCGCTCGCCTGGCATGCGTGCGGCCCGGGTTCGATCCTCAGCACCACATACAAACAAAGATGTTGTGTCCGCTGAGAACTAAAAAATAAATATTAAAAAAATTCTCTCTTTCTCACTCTCTCTCCTCTCTCACTCTCTCTTTAAAAAAAAATAAAAAAAATAAAAACTAACATTGTATTCAAACTGGTTTATGAAAATATATACAAAACTTAGCCGGGCACAATGGTGCATGCCTATAATCCCAGTAGCTTGGAGGCTGAGACAGGAGGATCTCCAGTTGAAAGCCAGCCTCAGCAACTTAGCAAGTTCTTAAGCAACTCAGTGAAACTCTCTCGCTAATAAAATATAAAAAAGGGCTGAGGGGCTGCGACTATAGCTCAGTGGTAGAACACTTGAGTAGCATGTGTGAGGCACTAGGTTCAATTTCAGCATTGCATATAAAATAATTAAACAAATAAAATAAAGGTCTATCAACAACTAAAAAAACATTTTAAAAAAAGGTGCTGAGGATGTGTCTCCATGGTTAAGTGCCCCTGGGTTCAATCCCCAGTACCAAAAAATATATATATGTATGTATGTATATATTTTTACATGAATGTGTGTATATGTATGTATATAATTTAAATATAATATTTATAAATTTATATATATTTATATAAAACTTGAAATATAATATCAAGTAAACCAGTAGTGAGTCAAAAAGTATTGCAATAAGAGTAAGTTTTATTCTAGGTATGAGTTAAAGAATTAATGTATATAAGAAATCTGGTAACATTGTCACTATATTTGAGAACAGGGCTAGGGATTTAGCTCAGTTGGTGAAGTAAGGAGTAAGGCCCTGGGTTCAATCCCCAGCACCATCAAGAAGAAGAAGAAGAAGAAGAAGAAGAAGAAGGGAGAAGGGAGAAGGGAGAAGGGAGAAGGGAGAAGGGAGAAGGGAGAAGGGAGAAGGGAGAAGAGGAAACAAAACTAAGTCAAAGGATCCCCAGCAAGATTTTTGGCAAAATTTTTGGCAAAATTCTACAGCTTTATTTAATAAAAAACTAATTTGAATATGATTTCTCAGATACTAAATATGTAAAAGGCCACAACATATTTCACTTTTAAATATTGATGTGAAGGAACTATTTTCATTAAAATGAGAAAAGGGGATTCTCACTGTTGCTATTATTAGTGAACATTGTTCTAAAGGTTCTGAAAAGTGCAATACGAAAATAAAATGACCTTTATAAATATTAAATAAGATATTAAATTACACATTTTGCTAATAATATGCTTGCCTGGTCAAAAAACCCTATGTGGTTTAGTGACTAAAAGCTACTAGGATTAGGGTTGGGGTTGTGGCTCAGTGGTAGAGCATTTGCCTAGCTTGTGTGAAGCACTGGGTTCGATCCTCAGCACCACATAAAAATAAAATACAATAAAGGTATTGTGTCCATCTACAACTAAAATAAATGAATAAATAAATAAGGTACTAGAAATAACGAGAATTTTAGAAGACCAATAGCTCAGCTACTCTGAGTTTATAGCCCTGGTTGGGGTAAGCAATAGATCCCTGAACTAGCCAGAAATGTAATAGGAAATCAATCAACAAGAAAGTCATATATGGCCTTGATAAGCACTCTGAACATTCATGTGGAGGATTGGGGGGAGGGAAAAACTGATGGGCACGAGCTATGCAAACATCCCTGGCTGATCATAAACCTGAGCACATGGGAGAAAGCCCTAGGGAAGTAACAGATGGGGGTGACTTAAAAGGTGACTGATTTTGATACACTCTAAAAACAACACACAGATCCACTGAAATGAGGATGAAGGGTCACTGGCTGGAAGTGTTTGAGCACAATATCTTCACAATCATTAACTTACCCTTAAATTCTGCACACACAGAGATGAATCATAGGAAGTTTGTTAAAAGTAAAAACTGAGCAGAGACATCAGCAGACACATGGGACAGAAAACAGATTCTAGAGATGAGTCCAGGCGAGATGCTAAACCTACAAACTAAAAATGAAGCATATAGAAACAAGCAACAGTAGCAACCCTCAGAATCCAGAGTTGTTACAATACATGAAGGCAAATAAATATTGGTTCTTTGAGGAGATCAACCATATTGACAAACTAGGATTTTCCTAGCCAGGATTTCTCAATCTTGGCACTATTGATATTTCTGACTGTATAATTTTTTTTTGTTGGAGTGGGAGGAATTCTCTTTTGTGTAAAGTAGTATGTTTGGAAGTATCCCTGATCTTTACCTAGGCATCAAAAACTCTCTGCCAACTGTGCCCTCAAAATTCCCCCAGACATTACCAAATGTCCCAGAGGGGACAAATCCATCTCAGATGAAAACCAGTGAGTTAAAGTAGGCAAGAGTAGCCAAGAAAAAAGGTGAGAAGACACAAATTACAAAAGGAGGAATAAACAAGGGGATACAACTGCCCATATAACAAAAATGTTAATGATTATAAGGTCATACTGTGAACAACTGTACGACAAAACAATTGACAGCTTAGATGAAATAGATACATCTTTTGGAAGACACAAAGTACCAGAAATACCTCAGAAAGTAGAAAATCTGAGTAGATCTGTAATAAGTAAAGATATTGAATTAATAATTTATTATTTTTTTGCCCATGTACATTTCTTTTTTTTCCATATTTTTTATTGGTGTATTATTGTACATATGATGGGATTTGTTGTTACATATTTAAACATGCACACAATACAGCAATATAATGTAGTCAATATCATTCCCCAGTATTTTTCCTTTCCCTCCCCCAGTCCCTTTCCTCTACTCTGAATTAACAATTTAAGCCTTATTTATTAAAAGAAAAAAGACCACAAATCTAGCTTTGTGGACCTTTATTGGCATTATTTGCAATTCTAGAATCTGCTAGCAGTGTGGACCCAAAGTGGTTTGGAATGCCTTACCACATGGGCAGGTTATACTTATAGGCAGAGAAAAGGAAGTGACATATAGAAGATGGAAATAAGGTATAGAGACAGCCTAATTGGTCACAACTCAAGTCTTTCTTATTTAAATGTGATCTGAACAGTCGGCTGTTTGTGATTGGCCATAGGTGTCTACTTTTACAAGAGTAGGTTGCAGTCTATTTACATATCATGTTCAGTTGCAGTTCACTGTTTGGAGAAATTAAAGCCAAACTTAAAATATGTATGGAGGAAGCTTTAGGCCAACCTTAAAATTTCCCAAAGAAAATCCAAGGCACAGATGGCTTCACTAATGAACTCCATCAAGTATTTGAAGAAGAAGTAATTCTAATAATTCACAAATTTGTTCAAAAATGAAGGAAGAAATATTTCTGAACTAATTTTATGAGGTCTGTATTATACTTATAGCAAACCTAGATAAAGACATCATAAAAAAGAAAACAGCTGAGTGTGGTGGTGCATGCCTGTAATCCCAGAGACTTGGGAGGCTGAGGCAGGAGGGTTTCAAATTCAAAGCCAGCCTCAGCAACGTAGTGAGAGCCTAAGCAACTTAGTGAAACCCTGTCTCAAAATAAAAAATAAAATGGGTTGGGGATGTGGCTCAGTGGTTAAGTGCCCCTGGGTTAAATCCCTGGTACAAAAGGAAAGAGAGAGAGAGAGAGAGAGAGAGAGAGAGAGAGAGAGAGAGAGAGAGAGAGAGAGAGAGAGAGAGAGATATCTCGGTTGAGTGAGCTACAGACCAATCAATATCCATTATGTCTTTTTTTGGAGGGGTAGGGTTTGCCAGGTATTGAACTCAGGGGCACTGACCACTGAGCCACACCCCCAGCCCTATTTTGCATTTTATTTAGAGACAGGATCTCACTGAATTGCTTAGCACCTCACCATTGCTGAGGCTGGTTTTTGAACTCGTAATCCTCCTGCCTCAGCCTCCTAAGCCACTGGGGCATCCAATATCTATTATGAATATAGATGCAAAAATCCTTAATAAAGCCAGGTGTGGTGGCACATACCTGTAATCCCAGGGACTTTGGAGGCTGCAGCAGGAAGATCACAAGTTCAAGGCCAGCCTCCTCCACTTAGCAAGACCCTAAGCAACTTGGTGAAACCCTGTTTCAAAATTTTAAAAAGGGCTGGGGATGTGGCTCAGTGGTAAAGCACCACTGGGTCGGATCCCAGTATCTCTCTCTCACACACAAAGTCCTTAATGAAGTATTAATAAATTAAGTCCAGTAACAAAAGAGAATCATATACCATAACAAAGTAGGATTTATTGCAGGTATGCAGGATTGATTTAGCATTCAAAAACAAATTAATGCACCAAGTGTAACTGTCTCAGCCAGGAGAATCCAAAGTTTCAGGCCTGCCTCAAAATTTAAAAAAAAAAAAAATTTAAAGTATTAGGGATGTAATTCAGTGGTAGGGCGCCCCTGGGTTCAATCCCCAGTACTAAAGAATAAATAAATAAAATTAATGTAATAGCCACATCACCACGGTATGTGCAGTAAAATTAATGAACAAAATCCAACATCCATTCTCAACAATTTAGAAATAGAGGGAATTTCCTCAGTCTAGTAAAGAACAAAGTTACTACAACTTAACATCATACTTAATGGCAAAAGGAGCCAAGTTCTTCCTACCTAAGTGGAGGAACAAAGCAAGGATTCTTTTCTTCTGTCCTTCCCCTCCCTTCCCTTCCTTCCCCTCCCAGCCTCCCCACTCCTTCCTTCCTTCCTTCCTTCCTTCCTTCCTTCCTTCCTTCCTTCCTTCCTTCCTTCCTTCCTTCCTCTCTCTCTCTCTCTCTCTCTCTCTCTC